ATTAACACAATTATAATTATATATAATTATTTTTTTCTCACCCCTATGTGTTTCTTCATTAAATCGGTTCACTTCACGATCTCAATTGATAAATATTTGGTTAAAACATTTATTCTGTATGTTTATATGTTATTTTTTTTTTGCAAGAACCGATTTAATGTTCACGATCACCTATGTGAACATTGTCTGCATACACTTATTTCGGTCGCATTGTGTACCACGCTCTGCTTGTGTCACGGTAAGTGCTGCAGAATTTTGTTGCTTCCTCAGCTACATGATGTCAGCAATCGAGTTCTGTGTTTTTCGTATGTAATATTTAACAGCCGCACTTATGCGCGCGTAAAGCACAATTGATGACATTGAAATAATGATCGATCGAAGGATCGACGTATAACTGGCGGCTCCCGAAATGTAAACTTGATCTGGCACATAACTAGATGTATTATTTTTCTAGCCGCAAGTTGCGGTAACTTCGGTCGGCTGCAATCGCGCGTCTGTCGCAATTTACTATTATTATATAATAAGAAGATAAAAGTTTGTCATCTCCCTAGTATGAAGAACGTGTGCTTTTTCGAGGCCAAGAGAAATTTAACGAAATTAATCGAAAGACGCAATATGGGGGAATCGCTTTATTCATAACGGGGTAAAGGGGTCATTGGAACCCTGGAAAGGATATTTTATTTCATTTTCACTCGAGTATACACGCGTACACAGACACACACACACACACACACACACACACGCAAAGCACACGTGCACACGCAGTTGCCTCCTTTCGTAAAACGGGACCAGATTAAAGGGGCAACGGGAAAGTAATCGCTTTATTATTAATCACGGAGTTAATGGAAAAAAAATGGGGGAAAGGCTTATTCTCGTTCTCTCACCAAATGCATATACACACATAAAGGTACACGCACATAAATAAACGACGTAAAGCGCGCGCGTACGCGCGCACGTACACTTTCGAGGCCAAGAGGATGACGCAAACCTCTCTGTCTCTTCTTTACCCCCGCATGATACCGATGATCAGGATCGGGCCAGAGCGATACGGACGAGGCGATGGCGACGGCAGCTCTTCTGCGGAACAAACCGAGCCCGGGCTCCACGACCCTGGAGGACGTACTTGACTCCCTCCTGGGGCTGCCACCCGCGTCGCGTACCCCGAGTCCTGGCCCGGGGGGACCCGTCGTGACCGCCACGTCCGCCATCCGCCATCGCCATACGAACGCCGCCGTCGGCCAGGCGAATGCCGGGCAGAGCTGCAGCGATCTACGCCAAGACCTCCAAGGTAGGAGGACTATGTAAGTTTTCGTTCCGATCGGCTAAACTCTATTCAAAGAACGATCAATTTCTATACGTACGAACTTTCCCCGACCCCCCCCCC